CAAAGGTGTACGTCAACATTAACACGAGATGTAGTAACATTGCCAGCTGACTATCATTAGCACACATTTCACTGTAAGAGCAACTCCAACCGAACTGGGTTATTTTGACACCACCACCCCCTCCTTGTTCATGGACAAGAGCCGGCCGACCCCCATTTGTCCATACGGGCAACAGTACCCTCCTTTTCGAAAACCTCAAATCAATACAAACACATGCACGTAGATTATACATAGGATATATAAACATATTAAAACCAAATGTGAAACTTACTAGACATACCAAAAGAAAAATGCATAAAACAAACTGAAAACTACCCCTACTCCTCGTCGGAGGAGAGCTCAATGACTCCCTTGCCAGAGCCACCAGCCTCATGGGTGTTGGTGGCTGGACAAACCAAGGGCATCTCCTCATCATTCGCGTCTTCCGCGAAGAATTTCTCCCGCTCGGCGTCATGGAGGCGCATCTTGTGGCGATGTCGGTGCGCCTCGGCTGCAAGGTGCTCAGATTCCTCGGTGAGCGCGGGGTGGTATTGAGTCTCCGCTGCCTCCATCGAGAAGAGGTGGATGACGTCACCCCCCGTTCATGCCAGCTTGCTCCATGAGGGCCGCCGTGCCATGAATGCGAGCATCTAAACCAGATGGATCGGATGGACCATCATTGTTGGTTTTATTCATGTTCTCCTCTGTAGAGCAAGTACATGCCTTGAACCCAGTTTCACTTGGGGTTATCAAGCAGCTATATATATGGATCACCCTCATGCATGTTTCACTTTGACCTCTTTTGAGAGAAATATCAGATGGTCCAGCATTGTTGGTTGGGGTTCTGTTGTGAGGGCATATGCATGGACATGGAGCCGTGCAGACGAGCTTCTAGCTTGGCCATGCAGATGCCTCACACCTAACATGCATACATTTCTCTTCACTTCTCCATGAAAAAAAATGCATGCACACATGGTGCCATGAATGGTTGGTTGGACAGAAAACTAACCCAAGTATCATGTGGCTATCACCGCCACTAGCTTCAGTTTCATGCTACCCTAGCTAGCAAGGTCAAACTCACACTTGTGTGCCTTCTCCTTTTTGACATCCATTGACAGCTAGCTAGAGGCGAGGTTACTACTTGTAGCTGTAGGTCAATTGGTTGCTAAAGATTGAAGTTTCATCAACACATCCTCATCACATCATGCATGTCGGGATCGACGGGATCGGCGTGGTTTCTCATGTTGTAGTGCACATATCTCGACGCACATTTGTGTGGCCTCTCTTCTATCAGTTGTTCCATTTGTAAATACAAATGCATAGTGTAAGTTATTGTCACCAGTCCATGTCAGTATGAGAGGTACGTACACCTATCTGCCTTCATGTGCCTCTAACATACCAATCCAAGTTGCTAAGCATTCTCCATAGGCGGCTAGGACAAATTTCTCCTCTTCAAGCTGCGGCAGCTAGCCCGTGGATTCACAAATCACAACCACTCTGCCTGCCATCCAAGCGGCTCGTGGCGGGAGGGGAATCTCGTTACCTTGGCTCCGAATAGTAGTTCAGGTTAGGGTTTATTAGTCCTCACAAGGAGACTTTGTGCGGATGGCAGCACTTCATCTTCGAGCTGGTCTTCTGGGCTTTGATCCTCATTGAATCCGTCCTCGACGGAGCTCATATGTAGATTTTTGTCACCTCGTTGGGGTGGCGATGTTAGGGTTTCTCTACATGCGACACGGTGAGATCTAGTGTCAAACACTTCACATCGATTCAAGGGTTCAACGTGACACTGTGGCTCCAGGGTGCTGGTCCTGAGGGGCATATGCGCGAAGACTTATCGGGCGTCATTGACAAGGTCAGGCCGGTTCCAGTATGGGAGTGGTAACAACGGCACATCGATGACTCGTTATGACAGTGGTAGTGGTCGTTTGGTGGTTCATCGACTTCAATATAATTTTTATTATATTTGGGCGCTTTGTACTT